TTCACCTATAGTTCTAGCTACTTGGGAGGCTGAGGCGGGAGGATGACCTGAGCCAAGGAGGTCAAGGCTCCCATGAGCTGTTATAGTGCCACTGTACTCCAGCTTGGGCAACAGCATGCAATCCCAACTCAAAAAAAACCAAAAAACAAAAAGCAAAAAACAAACAAACAAAAACCTATGCTAACAATTGATAATAGTAAATGTTTATTTTAGAAAATAAATATGACTTTACTTTTCAGTTTATAAAAGAATGCACGCTTATGGAATTTTTTTCCAAAAAAATCTTACAATAGTCAAAGCACAATGACAGCAAAGATCATCCCAAGTTAAAAGCCACTGAGCCAATTTGCTGTCTTTTCACTAGCTATGAAGAATCCAAGTGCTAAGTTTCAATGTTCGTGTTGTGTTACCTTGTCTTTTAAAGTCAGATATCATCATACTGGTACTTTATTCAATTTGTTGCCAGTTTAGTGGGTGTTAATTGAGTTGAAGACAGTTCCTTTTGTTTCGGCAGATTTATTCCTGTCCTGTATGACTTCAAGTTGCTCCATGGCTGGATCCAGGGGAGAGAAGAGAATGATTTTTCAGGGTCACCCCTGTGAGACTGAATTAGCCTTAGGATGTCAACATGAGAAAGGAGCTAAGTGATTCTCAAGAATAACTTTAAGACAACATTTGGAGTTCAGATGCATTGAAAGCTGATCAACAGAACAGAGAGTTCCACAGACACGTTCATCTTCTGGGAATGACTTAGGTCATAATCATCCTTGAGTAATGAGGAAATTTTGTCTAGTTCCTTTGCCCTTTTCCCCAGTGATAGTTCATGTTAAACTTATTTGAGTGGACTTGAAATTATTGCAATAACAACAACATAACCTTAAAAGCTTATTGGCCATGAGAAACATGTGTATGACATATTTAAAAAAACTCAATTAGCGCTTATTAAAATATACAACTATTAAATCTAAAATTATGCATTCTAAATATCAAATTAAATTCAGTATTACACTTTTTCTTTGTCTCTTCTAAGCAGTCACAGTTCCTAATTTAACATATAGAGGTCATCATAATCGCTAACCTATAATATGTTTACATTTTATAATAAGGAAATTTTAAAACCATGTGTATAGATATATAGGGATATCTATATCGATGCTCACAACACAAAGCAAATGGAAATAAAGGAAAAATATTGTCAGTGTGTAGCTAATAATGTGTTAAGAGACTGAGCCATTGATATAATTAGTAACTCCACTCTAGCATAGCAGTTAAATATATGGTGTGTAAGTTTCCAGTTTAGATAAATGATAGCCATCATTTAAGTACCAAAAGTTAGGTTTAAAAATTTTTCTGAAATACACAGAATTCCACCTCATGGCAAGCTCTGAAAAGACATCATTCTGTGGGATTCAACAAGTCATAACCATCACTTATTATTCTTTTATTTTGTCCTAAATTGCCCTAGTGCACTCTGCTTTTAGATAACTCTGGGTTCTTTCTTTTTTAATCATAATCTTTTTCTTATTATAGAAGTTACACATGCTCATAATAGAAAGTTTTTCAAAATGCAATCACATATAAAGAAGCAAATAAAAATCATCCTCAATCTCACTATCCATAAATTACCATTGTTAACCATTTTATGACCTTTTTTACATATGGTATTAGTTTTCCAGGGTTGCCATAACAATTTATCATCAACTGTGCAGTTCAAAACAACAGAAATGTATCGTCTCCCTTTTCAGGAGGCTAGAAGTCTTAAATTAAGGCTCTGGGAGAATCTGTTCCTTGCATCTCTCCTGGCTTCTGGTGTCTGCCAGGAACCTTTGGCTTATCATTCCAATCTCTGCCTCCATTCTCACATGGTCTTGTTCTTTGTGTCCTCTTCTCTTCTTATGAGGACACCAGTCATTGGATCTACAGACCACTCTTATCCAGTATGACTTCATCTTAGTTCATTACATCTGCAAAGAACTTGTTCCAAATAAGGTCATATTCTGAGGTTCTGGGTAGACAGGAAATTTGGGGAGGGGACACATTCAATCCATTACACACAATATGAGATATATTTGTGTAATTACAACAAGCAGACCATATTTTACATACAGCTTAGTCCCTTTTTCATTTAAGACATGAGCTTCCCTGTGTCTTTTAAAAATAGGAGTTCACATTTTTATAGCGTGTTTCATCATGTGAATATCACATCACTTACATAGCTAACCTGCTACTTCAGGAATTCAGATGGTTTCCAGTCTTAACTATTATAAATGGTGCTGATGAATATACATGCACCAAAATCTTTGAATTTATCCCTGCTTATTTTCTCTTATTTTAAACTCCTGTGAGTTGAATTATTGGATGAAGGAGGGTGAACATTCTAAAGGGTCTTGAAAAATCTCATTTAATTGGGTTTCAGAGACTGTATCAATTTTCTGTCCCCAACAGGAGAGGAGAACACCCGGGGCTCTGTATCCTCTGTACACTATGCATTATAGTTTTTTGAATATTTGTCAAGTGAACAGGCCAAGAAATATCTGTTGCATCTTGTTTACTGGCTATTTAGGCATCCTTAAAAAAAACAACAACCAGTTTATGCCTTGTTTCTCTTTTTTACTTTGTTTCTTCTCTCTCCAACTGTCAGTATGTATTTCTTACCGTCTCCCTGATGAATACACTGTCCACATCCACCCTTTTTACAGTTTGCTGTGAACTAAAAAATCAGGTAGATGTCCTCTCTCTTTCCTTTTTCCAGACTCGGGCCACCTATGAGTCTTGTACAGATGTCTGTCATAGTCTCCTTTTATATCTCAGTTGTTTACATGTATCCTTCCCTTCCAACACTTTGGGGCAATGTCCATGTTTTATTCATGTTTGTGTGCTTTTAGCAACTAGCATGGATACTCAACTAATGTTTGTTGAACTGAATTGTTAAATGCTGACCTGGAAATAGTCACAATTCCCTGTTTAAATAGAAATAGATAAATAAGGGCACATAGGACTTGAAAAGAGACTCAAATGAGACTCAAAGTGCACATGGATGTTGTACTTCTGTTTTACATTTTAAGTAGGAATTTCCCCCATTTTTCATAGCTATATCTGAGATAATTGGGAATGTGAGCAACATTGTCTCAATGGTAAAGTGTTAACCATAATAAGCACAATCATAATGGAGTAAAGACATCAAAGTATTAAGATCAGAGTAAGAGTCCCAAATGTCAAAAATTTAAATTTCCTATTGTTGTCACTGAAGTACAAACCACTGAATGTACTTGTAATATTAGCATGGATTTATGCAATTTGTAGATTTTAAATATATTTCCATTCAAAATTCAACTGTGAAAAACAGCCTAACTTGATTTGAAACCTGGAAACAAAGGGATTGAAAAATATAATTTGAAAAGTTATAAGAGAATATTAAAACTTGCATTAGCTGGGTACAGTGGCTCACGCCTATAGTCCCAGCATTTTGGGAGGCCAAGGTAAGAGGATTGCTGGAGCTCAAGGGCTCAAGACCAGTCTGGGCAACTTGGTGTGACCTCATCTTTACAATAATAATAAAAAAAAAAAATTAGCCGGGCAATGGTGGCACATGCCTGTAGGTCCAGCTACTCGGAAAGCTGAGACAGAAGGGTCACCTGAGCCCAGCAGGTTGAGGCTGTGGTGGCTGTGAGTGTGCCACTGCACTCCAGCCTGGGCAACAGAGTGAGACCCCAACTCAAAAAATAAATAAACAAATAAATAAATAAAACTTGTGTTGACTGCAAGAAACTCTTCATAAACATCTTTTATGAGCATTACGGTATGGTCACATTTATTTTCACACGGATGTTAGGACAAGCCATTGCCATAAGTGGTTTTCTGTATGGATTCTCTTTTCTGCCTCAGATGTTCTGGATCCTTCTTCCATCCTTACTTTAGCCTCACAGACTTCAAAATGCCACCACCTACAGGACCCAGTACACACCCTGCTTTATGAATTATAAATGCCCTCCCATCACAACCTAAAGAGATCCTTCCCTCCTCTTTGTCTTCACAACACACTGTTTTTGACACTTTCATCACTCCTAGTGATTCTGCAATGTGCTCAAGCTATTTGTGGGCACATTTATTTTCCCCCTAGATTGTAAACATTTAAAGAATGAGGTGAACTCAGGAATCATTTGTAAATACTCGAGTATCATTTGTGACAGTGGCTGTAATAGTGAACATTAGAAGGGCATGTACCTCAACTATTCTGAGATTAAAATGATTGTCCAGGAATGCTGGAGACCTGGCATTTCTGGACTTTCAACAGCCTGTCCCCTTTAGAAATTGTGATGACACTACACTACTTTCCTATAAAGGTCCCAGACCCTCTCTAAAATACTTTATGCAAAAGCCACGTGCTTGTGAGTGTGCATGTAAGCAAGTGTGTGCGTGCGGTGTGCATATGTAAGTTGTGTGTGCAGGCGTGTGCAGGCATGTGCAGTGGTCATCAACCTTGGTGCCTGGGTTTGGAAGGAGAAACACATCACTCCATCTCCAAGCCCCTTTCATGCCAGTTCTTCCCATCTCAGTCCCCTGAGTGCTAAACCTCATTTTGTTGATGGTGCTTTCGGGCTCTTCTAAGCAGAAGGCAACCTCCTTTCAGCGCGGCTGGCCGAGGGGAGGGGAGGGGTGGGAGGATTTTGACGTGTGGGTGTCTTACCAAACAAATGGATCCTATACTTTCTGAATTAAAGATGAGCCGCCTGACAAGAATTTCCAGGTCGCAACACAGACGGGGCCGGAGTGTGCCTGAGCCGAGGAGGCTTTCGGACACCGGGATGCAACAGGGCTTGGGAGAAAGGGGGGAGAAAGAAAGGCCACTTAGCGGTCTTTGTTTTGATCCTGGCAGCTTCCCGAGCCAGATTTCAAGCGGCACGCCGACCGAAGCGCTTCCTTGCACTCATTGGAAGGGGAAGGGACTGACTCATGTTACACCAGTCCCATCTCCCCTCCCCGCGACCGCTAACTTGTTGGCTTTAAAAGGAAGTGACATGGGTGGGGAGAGACGTCAGCTGAGGACCACTTTTTTTTTTTCTTCCCGAAGGGTCCACCCCATGGGTGGAGTCTCGCTTTTTCTTTCCAGTGTTGGCTGATTTACAGCGCCTATAAACTAGTGGCAATTTCGGAACCCAGCCGGCTCCCTTCGGTCTCTGATTTCTAAGTCCATGTGCCAGGGCTGCCAGGAAGGAGGTATGTGCTGTTCGTGCCATCTGTGGGCACCTTCTCTGGGCGTGGCTGGGGTTTGTGTTTCTCTTCCTATCACTATTTCTCTCTCCTTGGCTGGATTTTCCTAGGACCTCTGGAAGGGGTGGGCTCCGGGGAGGGCGAGCTGCGAGTTGCAGTGGGAAGGTGGACGGCGCCCGAGGGAAGGCCAAGGCAGGCTTGGCTGGTACAAAAGGACCCTCGCTTTGTGCTGGGCCGGGCGAGCGTCCCTTTCTGGGTTGTGATTTCAGGCTGCTGTTCTTGGCTTAATTTACCCACCTAGCCATCCGCCCACCCCCTTCCCGGGGTTAGAGCATTTTCTCTGCCATAGATGCAGATGGGTTGGGGGGGCGGGGGATGTTCTTGTTAATATATTGCTCTCTTTTGTGTCATGCAACATGTTCTTCCGCCTCTGACGTTACTATGGCAACCACAAAAATACTACACAATATGCAGCCCTGATATAAATGGATGTATTTCTATTTCGTGTCTAGTTGGCTGCTTTCGGCGCTTGTTATTGCTTTGGATGCTGAAATCCAGCATGGCTTTGTGGCTACCCCTCCTCACTCTCAGTTTGGTTTTTCCCTAACACAGGCGGGCTGTGGGGGAGGGGAGTTGTCAAGGAAACAGGCATTTGTAATTACCTCTTTATTTATCTAACGTTCGGCCTATGAATTTTTCCATCATATCTAGGAATTAAAAAAGAAATACTTGGGTGTTTGTGTAAGTCTTCAGTGTCTGGTCTTTTTTTTTTTTTTTTAGTTTAAAAAAAACCTAAACACTACTCAAGATAGGATATTGACCCTGTGGTAAAGCTATGGGGAAGAGCACTTATTTCTTTAGAGGAGGTGAGATCTTTGAAATAAAGTTTGAAAGAGTGTCCGCGAATCCACACTGACAAATGTGGTGTTGTCCGCCTAGGTTTGCTCCCAAGTCTAAATATTTAAAAGATGAGGCTCTGCTCTAGACTGAACTTATTCAGCACAAAATCTAAGTTCAACAAGTATGAGTAACACAGTAACTAGCACAGCAGGATTCTCAGTCTTGGGGTTTTGTGTGTTGCTTAGATGGGTTACTCACATCTTTGAACTCTCATTAAGATGAGGGTTGATAAACTTTCTCTTTCAAAACTGTGGAAGGAAGAATCCATCAGAGATTATTACTCAACCACCCTCAATTGAAAAAAAAAGGATCTTGAGAGACGGGAGAACGTGTGTGCATGTATGCATGTGCATGTGCATGAGTGTGTTTAGGGGAGTGAACAGAAACATCAGAGCAAATCAAGAAGTCTAAGTGAAAACTGCTAAATCTTCTGAACGTTCTCTATGGGGAGAAGAAATTGATTAAAAAAAATGAAACAAGGCAAAATTATTATCTACCTACTAATAAGCAAAGTTAAATATAATTAAAATCAAATAACCCATCTCTTAGAAAGATGTAGTCCCAATGGACCTACTAACAGGTATGGGTTAAATTGATGCTTTTATTCGGGACATCTAAGAAAATGTTTGATAATGGGCACCATTCTTTTGATGGGCATCCCAAAATACCTTATTAGCTTTTATAAGATAGATAAGTAGTAATCTCATTTTGGTTCTTAAAATTATCTGTAATTTTGGATAAAGACTTGGGAAGGTCACTTAACCCGCATGATACCTTCCAACTATTATCACCAAAAACATTACTTGGAAACCTCAGAGTAACCCTGCCATGTGGAAGCAGGAAGAAGGGGTGGTTTTAATGAAATTATGTTTGTTGAGATCCTTATCTAAAGGCGTTATCATCCATGTCTTATGAAACTTACTGTAATGCAAAAGATCTTAAGTATTTCAGATACAAAAGCTAGCTGAAAATGGGGCTAACTAGCATGGCACAAAACTAACTAGAGCTAAATAGAATTAAAGACAAGAGTTATTTATGTATTTATTTATTTTTTTTGAGTTGGAGTCTCACTCTGTCGCCCAGACTGGAGTG